TCTGGCTGCCTCGTCGATGCACCTTTCGAAGTTGCGGAGGTGGTTTGTCTCCTCTCCGCCGATTGAGTGGGCGCTGTCACATCTCCGGGAGCTGTTGATTGGGGCGCTGAGAGAAGGGCCGATTCCGCAGCATGTGGCGTTTGTCATGGATGGGAATAGACGTTTCGCGAGGAACCATCAAATAGAGAGAGTTGAGGGACATCATCTGGGGTTTGAGGCGTTGGCTAAGGTACGGGCTCTCTCCCCCCCCCCCCCCCCCCCCCTTTTTTTTTCTTTTCTTTTTAACCTTTGCAATTCTATTTTTTTGCATTCTCCTCTTTAAAATAGGGGTTTGTGAAAGATGGCGGGCGGCGGAGGTCTCTAGAAGTGGCTGTTCAGACTGCATTTTCATCCTTATTTTTTGCTTTTGGAGCTTTACTTTACGCTAACGGGCTATTTTACTTGTGTGTTTAGATCTTAAAAATGTGCTACAAAGCAGGGGTTAAGGGGGTAACGGTGTACGCATTCAGCATCGAAAACTTCAAAAGGGCGAAATACGAGGGGGATGCTCTAATGGATATGGGAAGGGTGAAGCTAGCCCAGTTATCTCAGCATGGAGATCTTCTGGATCGTTACGGGGCTAGTGTACGAGTCTTGGGTCGCCGGGACTTGGTCAAGCCAGAAGTTCTCGAGGCCATCGATAAGGCTGTTGAGATTACCAGTCAGAATGGAGATGCTGTCCTGAACATTTGTTTTCCGTATACGTCCAGAGACGAGATGACGACGGCGATCCGGAACACAGTCACCGAATATAGCACCCCTCTTGATCGGACACAGCTACCATTGCCAAACGGGCCACGTCACACCTTTTCCGGAACTCACATCGCCGAATGTATTCAAAAGGAGAATGGAATGGTTAATGGGCACGGAACAGATTCCTCCTTATTGCCTCCATGCGGTAAACGTGCATCGAAGATTTCCAACGATGGTCCCGATCATCCCTCCCAACCTACCTCAACGATATCGAAAAACAGCCTCCCGCATGCTGTAGAGAAAGTCCCTATGATCCTGGAAGCATACACCAGCTATCCTCCCAACACCGACCAACTTATCTTCCTCTCTCCAGAAACCATCACACAACAGACTCTGACCGATCACATGCTTACCGTCGGCTGTCCTCCCCTGGACCTCCTTGTGCGAACCTCTGGCGTTGAGAGACTGAGTGACTTCATGCTCTGGCAGTGCCATCAAAACACGGAGGTTGTGTTTTTAGAGACCCTTTGGCCGAGCTTTGACCTGTGGACTTTTTTACCAGTGCTGTGGGAGTGGCAATGGCGGGTGCGCAAACAGGGGAGTCCGAATGGGGAGCTGGATGATGTCGATGAAGATGAATCCAGCCGTTCGCACAATGGGGTCATGAATGGGGCAAGCTCTGACTCTCTCTCCCCAGCACGCAGGCAGAGCGGAAAATTTAAGGATATATAATATTTTTGGAGTTTTTTTTTTTTTTTTTTTTTCTTTTTGGTATCTCCTTCTGTTAATCCCCCCCCCACCCCTAAAATCCTTTCTTTGGTCCTTTCTTTTCAGCGAGAATGGCATTCTTAGTTCTTGTTTTTATTCTCAATATTCGCTGCATATTCTTAACTTTTTTTATTGTTTCATGGTTTCTGGAGCCTGGCATTCATGTGTCATAAAGACGGAGTCCTTTTGGTTGCGATTCTAGGGGCCGTTTGTAGCATCCCTGTTTTCAATCCATATTAATCCCCAGTTACTCTGCTTTCGTCTTCATTTCGACCTCAAGCGCAAGGCCCCGACTCATTGCCTATTATTTATTTATTCTTTTTCCTCATCCACATATAGAAATAGACCAATATACCCTAGTCTGCCCCGTTTCCTGCACTTCCTGTATAACATAGACCATTAAAATCACAACTTATCCCCCTTCTCTCTTCGTCCTCAACTTGGAACCCGAGTACTTCATTCCGCTGTAAATCACGTGATTATAATATATATTCGGGCCGAGAGCGGAAAGCGATATGAACCAACTTACGGATAGTTAACCGGTAAATAAAATGTCCCTCACTTTTTTTTTTCGGCAAAATGCCCAACAACTCATCCTTGCTTCAGTTGATTTCTCTTGCATTTCAAAATTGGCAGCACAGCATACACAATATATAATCACTCCATTAATAATATCCACCAAATCGATATAACTCACAATGCCGCAGTCGTTTGAGGGTCGAAAGGTGCTCCTGTAAGTTCCCCTCTATTCCCCACATTAAATATCTTCATCGCGCAGTCGCTCCTCCCACTCCTTGTCATATTTTCAATTCCCTCTCCTTCAACTATTGCAATATTGTAGGTAGATACTATAGACGGAGACTGATTTCTTTTCGGTATCATTTAGGTTGGGAAGTGGTTTCGGTTCGCTTTTCCCTTGCTGCTGTTTTCTTCCCCCTCCAGAAAGCGGGGGGTTTTGCGAGAGCTCGCGAATTAGTCCCTTGGATACAATCGCTGACAAGATCGCCCCCCTCTTTGATAATGAATAGTTACGAAGCCGACTGTTGAGCTATTGAGCAATGCGGATATTGAGGTTACAGTTGGTATGTAATAAATAACCAGTCCCCGTCTCAATGCAGTTTGCGCAGCCGCGGAGAGAAATTCATCGTTGGTCGCACCACTGCAATGAATCAAAAGGGGGAAAACATTTTTGCGGCACCATATAGGGGAAACAACGTAGCTAATTCAGTTTAATTGGTAAACAGCGTGCCGCACACTCGAGAGCGCTAAGAAGCTTTGCCAGGGCATCAAGAACACTAGAGCCATTTCCCTCGATGTGAATGACAGCGCTGCGCTCGATGCAGAGCTGTCCAAGGTTGACCTTGTAGTCTCCCTTATTCCCTACACAAATCATGCTACTGTTATTAAAGGCGCGATTCGCGCCAAGAAGAATGTCGTCACTACATCCTATGTGTCTCCTGCCATGATGGCGCTTGAGAAGGAGGCCAAAAATGCTGGTATAACGGTTATGAATGAAATTGGTCTTGACCCTGTAAGTTTTATTCGAGATTAGTTTTTGGGACGACGAATAGCCATGTTATGCTGACTGGTATACGCTTGTGTTCGGTCACGTTGTTAGGGTATTGATCATCTTTACGCTGTCAAGACAATTTCTGAGGTAAATCGCTTCTTTAAGCGCGCGGTTCCAGTAAATGGATTCTGGCCTTTCTAATGATCGATTTGTTCTAGGTTCATGAGGCCGGCGGAAAAATAACCTCCTTCCTGTCTTATTGCGGTGGGCTTCCTGCGCCAGAATGTTCCAACAACCCCCTGGGCTACAAGTTCTCCTGGTCCAGCCGAGGTGTTCTTCTCGCCCTTCGAAATGATGCGAAGTACTATAAAGATGGCAAGGTGGAATCTGTTTCAGGACCGGAACTCATGGGAACAGCCAAGCCATACTTTATCTATCCAGGCTTTGCCTTCGTCGCCTATCCAAATCGAGATTCAACCGCCTACAAGGAACGTTATCATATCCCAGAAGCCCAGACCGTTATCCGCGGCACACTTAGATACCAGGGCTTCCCTGAAATGATCCGCACACTCGTCGACATGGACTTCCTCAGCGATGAAGCGAAGGATTTCCTCAACTCCCCAATCCCCTGGAAAGAAGCCACCCAGAAAATCCTTGGTGCCACCTCCTCCAGCGAAAAGGATCTCGAGTGTGCAATCTCCTCGCGCACCAAATTCCCTACCACGGAAGAGAAATATCGCATCCTCTCCGGGTTACGCTGGATCGGGATTTTCTCTGACGAAAAAATTATCCCCCGTGGCAATCCCCTGGATACCCTGTGTGCGACCCTAGAGGCGAAAATGCAGTACGAGGCTGGGGAGCGTGATATGGTTATGCTCCAGCACAGGTTTGAGATCGAGCATAAGGATGGGTCAAAGGAGACGAGGACTAGCACTTTATGCGACTACGGTGATCCCAACGGTTATTCATCCATGGCGAAATTGGTTGGCATCCCGTGCGGTGTCGCAGTTAAGCAGGTCCTTGATGGAACCATCAGTGCGAAGGTTCGTTTGGATGATTGCCCCCCCTCATATTTCGTTTGTCTAGCCCTTGTGATGAATATTACTAACAAACTATGTATAACTTTGGCAGGGTATATTGGCACCGATGAGCATGGACATTTGTGCGCCTCTGATCAAGACTCTCAAGGAGGAATATGGCATTGAAATGATAGAAAAGACTGTTTAAAGCAAAAGGGAGTAGACAAGTAAAAATGGGGGCGTAGTGAACCTTTTCCTTTCTGCTGTTGTGTGAGAGGAGTGAAAAACATTACTTAGAAGCTTGCTGGACGTAACATAAGGTTTACAAAAATCAAGTCTTTTCGGGTTTCCTTCTCCTACGTTTTCCAGCGCTGTGGGTTTTACTTATCATTCCATGCCATGTTTCATTTCATGACGTAAATGAATACCCTTAATAGCTCCATACAAAGTATGGATTCTGGATAATTTCCCTCAATATTCGCCTTAGAAATTGTGTCAAAACCTTGCATAGGCAATTCGTGCATGCATACATCTCGGGAAACCGGGGTAACGGGTATCTCGGGTATGCAAAGGGTATTGCGGGAGTTATACATCTATCTATGATTCCCAGAGGCAAATTAATAGCTGCAGGGGCTCTGCTTGTGAGGAGTGGATTATAAATATCAGTGACTTGCGCCTATCCAAAATAGTGTCTTTCACAGATCACTTTATGAAGTCCACTTGGAGGCCAATTCTTCAATTGACACCCACACGCCATGTCTGCTGAGGAGCCAGCTTACGACAGATCGTAAGACAATTTCTTTTACCCCTTCGTCATTGCCTTCCGTCCCTATTTCATTCCAAGCGCTTTTTTAAGTATCCCCGAGACAAAATAATAATTCATCTAACAAAACAACAATCACCACCAACAACCAGTCGACCCCTCCCTCTCATCCAACCATTATATCATCACAAGCTTGCCAATGCCCCCGGGAAATCAATAATTGGCGTGATGGTCACATTCCCGCCCAACAGTGCCTCACCACCACATCGGCACGGTGGTGCTTCCGTCTCCGCATACCTGATCCAAGGCACGGTGTTGAACAAAATGAACGATGAGCCGACGCGTGTCATCGAGAAAGGGGGGACCTGGTTAGAAAAGCCCGGTTGCCATCATAAGATCAGCGCCAATGTGAGCACAACGGAACCGGCTCTGCTACTGGCGACTTTTGTGATCGAGACGGAAAAAGTGGAGAGGGAGGGAGCAGCAGCGCTTATCCAGGTCGACGAGGAGTATAGTGATATGGTATTTCCGGAGGCCAAAGGGGGCGTGCTTTGAACTTGTTTGTTTCATTCACTGTTCAAAAAAAAAAAAAAAAAAAAAAAAAAATTGTATTTCTCTAGCCTGAAACATGACGCATGATGACGTTTTGGCGATCATGATCAGATATGTCAGTCAAATACGCTTGTTTTGCTTTTACAGTCAAATAAGTAATGCAAATAATTAACTATATACGGCGTAAACAACAAATTGGTAACTCGGCTACCCCGGCTTTACCGGGAAATCGGGAGCCGGTCGGAAGGCTCTGCTTTTCCCGCCAAGTTTAACCTGAAACTGCAACGACAGGGTCACTGCCAGCTTTCACAGCTTCAGGCCTGGGGGGATTCAGCTTCCGTCGTCATTGTTCTACGTCATGGTTAGTATATAACGCTGTCTGTGAAGATCCGGTCCGGAGGCTATCCACGTAAAACGAATGTCCTATTCCTTCTATCAGACGATTCGAACACCCACAGTTTACGAGCAACATTTCCTTGATTCTCGCGATTGTGGCCTCGCTCCTTTTACACTTGAGACGGTCGTCGGCTCGGTGATATGAAACAAAGCCTTTTTATATGTTCAAGAAACCGTGCTTTGAACGAATATGCTAGACTTTATATGCTGAATGCTGTGTTTTCAAAGCCTGAAAGATTTCATGTCTGAAACTTGAGGGGCTGCCGCGCAACAATCTGCCTAGCAGAGGCATGGGGGAATGCATAGTAAGACCTGATTTGCCTGGAAACGTCAAAAACGATGTCATGGCAATAAACACTACGTCATTTGTGAATGGGCTGGAGGAGGAACATGGAATACGCAGAGGACTGTTTATCTGATATCCCATAACGCACACACGCAATGTCCTTTCAGCCGAGAAATTGTATATATATGTTTCGACATCCAGGCGAATAGCTCGTGCTCATCACCATATACCAAAGTGGGTAGGGAAGTTTGGTAGTACAAGAACTGAATTACAGCGCATCATGAGACGTTTTATTTCAACACGGCTACCGAATTGGCTGCTCCTATTAAGTTTCTTATTAGCCAATGCAGTCGATAGCAGTCCTACCAAACCTACAACTTATATCGAGGACGAGTATGATTTCGTGATTTGTGGAGGTACGATTATTCCGGTCTTCTATGGCATATATGTACTAAGCCCAACGTCTCTCTAGGCGGCACGGTTGGCCTCGTCTTAGCCAACAGATTGTCTGAATCGGGCAGGAATAATATTCTTGTTCTCGAAGAGGGACCAGAACCTTCAGTCGTAGCAGCGTATAAACCAGCTGGTGGTAACCAGTTCCTCGCCGGTATGTAGGGGATCCTCTGAGCTTTTGGCGTGGGACTCAGCTAAGCACGATTACAGGCACCGCAATTGACTGGAATTTTCTCACTGTTCCTCAGGAGCATCTTGACGGGCGTGTCCTACCATACCATCGTAAGTCCGATGCAAATTCCCGAAGATACAGCACTAATTGGTATAAATTTACTCCACAATTTCTCCCTTTACTAATATAAGGTATAGGCGGTAGGTGCTTGGGTGGCAGCAGTGTGATCAACGGTCTGTTCTATGGTCGCGGTAGTGCCAGTGTGTACGACAAGTGGGTAGAGCTTGGTAACCCTGGTTGGGGCTGGCATGACGTATATCCGCTATTTGTGAAGGTGGGAAACCCTAATTATCTTCGGAATCTCAACTAACAATCTATTGTGTAGAGTACTCGTTTTAATGCTCCGGACCCTGATTCCGGATTTGACCAAAGGTACAAAACTTGGGATCCAAGTGCATATGCAAACGGTCCTCTTGATATTGGATTCCAGGGATATGTTCCTGAGTCAGGAATTGCATTCATACAAGCTTGCGAAGCTGCCAATATACCTATCGTCAACGAGCTAAATTCGGGAAATAACACTGGTGTCAAGCAAGGTACTGGCTGTCTCGACAGTACATACCGTCGAAGCTCTAGTTATGATTCTTTCTATAAGGAGGCAGCGAAGCGTACAAATTTAGTGGTTTTACACCACGCTCCTGCTTTCCATATCATTACTGAAAAAACAAACGACTCTATAGCGGCGACTGGGGTCGTGTTTACTGATCAGTCAACTGGTCGATCACGGAGTGTCAAGGCCAGAAAAGAGGTCATTTTAAGCTTGGGTGCATTCCAGACTCCTCAACTTCTCATGCTTTCAGTATGACTCCCACCCCAAAAATTGACTTTTCTCCGCTTACTTACTATATATAAATCAGGGAATTGGACCCGTTTCAGAGTTGGACAAATTTGGCATAGATCATGTTTTGATCAATGAGAATATTGGTCGGAAGTGAGTAACTCTAATGTGCCTTTTCAGGTGGTATGTACTGTACATGCTAACATTATATGTTTAGCCTAGACGATCATTCCGTCTTCAGTATAATGGCTACTGTTCGTCGCAACGCATCGACTAGTCAGATGTTTGCTTCTGCTGGCAGTACTCAAGCCGCCCAAGCGGAGTTTTACAATAACCTTACTGGCCCATATACAGCACCTTCGGGCATAACCAATGGTTTCCAGATGCTCCTTGACGATGAACTGGAGTCCATTGGTGCACATGAAATTATTGCCCAGGGTCTCACGAATCGATCTCATATTGAGTACCTCTACGAATCGATGTGGTATCCTGGAGGGCCAACCCCATATTACATTCCAGATGAAGATATATCATACATCTCCCTCACAGCATCAAATCTTGTAGCTGCATCTCGGGGAAATATAACCCTTAGATCAAACTCAATGAGCGATGCACCCAGAGTTAACCCAAATGTAGGAAAGAGTTTTTCATTTCGTATTACCTAAATTACAGGCTACTGAATCCCCGTGTCATTTGTCAAACAAGCTAACACGTTAAATCGATAGTATTACTCCCATCCCGTAGACCGCGTCCTCGCGATTCATGCATTCAAGTATCTGCGGAAAATTCTTGCCCATCCAGCATTTGCTAGTTTCACAGTAGGTCCATTTTACGGCGAGGTTAGTCCGGGCCCCTCAGTCAGCAGTGACGACGATGACGCCATCTTTGAATACATCAAAGCAAATACCATCCCAAATTGGCACGCCTCGGCGACAACACAAATGCGGCCTCTAGAAGACGGTGGAGTTGTTGACCCAAGACTGAAGGTTTACGGGATTCAAAATCTCCGAGTAGCGGATTCCAGTATCATTCCGTTACTCCCCGATGTAAACATCCAGGGGCCAGTTTTCATGATTGGGGAGAAGGCGGCACAGATGATCAGAGAAGATTGGGGCAATCTTTGATTTCAATGGCCTTCTTTCGAGTATACCCGCTATTTTCCATGTTCACTTTCCCGCTTGGTTCACTAATCGGCTTAATATCGATGGCGGAGGATTAAACATAAAGCAAATGGGGTATTGCGGAGTTTATATAAAACCAATCCAATATATTTGAAATTGCTACTTAGGATATTTTCTTATTCTGTTCAGTGGAAGCATCTAGTTGCTGATCTGAAGTAGTCAACCATAACGAAATATTTTATATCACAGCTAGAGGCCTTCGAGAACAGTTCATTCGTGCACACTGAGGACAACTTTACCCCTAGCCCGCCTAGTGTCAACTTTTGCAAATGCTTGGTCAAATTCCTCAAGCTTAAATGTGCTATCAAGCACTCCGTGACACTTCCCTAGCAATACCAGTTCCGTGATCATAGCCAGTTGGGCCCCGTTCGGCTCCATGATGAAAAAGAAGTTCTTCACATCTTTCGCCGTGCAATTCGCTGGCTTCCTCTCTTCAGGCGGCTGCACAATGCTGATCAGCGTCCCACCATCCTTCACAGCCCCCCAAGCATCCTTCAATGTCTGATTACCGAAACAATCAATTACCAAATCTACCTTCCTGTTCTCATCCGCAGCAGCCCAGGCAGTTATGGACGTCGTTTTATAATCGACCACCTCATTCGCTCCAAGGTCACGGACAAATTGTTCGTTCTCAGATCCGCAGGACACAGAGACATGAAGGCCTGCAATCCTGGCAAGCTGGACGACCCACAATCCAACACCTCCTGACGCAGCTGTGATGAAGACCCTCTTCCCCTTATTTTCGGGATTTTCAGGTCCGCCTAGCCCGCCCTGAACGAACAAGGCTTGCCACGCCGTAAGTGCCGACAAGGGAATCGTTGCTGACTCGGCCCAGCTCAGATTGTTTGGCCTAAGGGCAAGCTCAGAGGTCACCGCAATGGTGTAGTCACGAGCGCAGCCTGGCCGAACATAGTTTGTTCGAGCGTAAACTTGGCTTCCAGCTGCAAATGGTGAAGTCTCTGGCGCGGTAACGACGGTTCCAGCGAGATCGTAACCAGGAATTATCTCCTGCTTGCCCTGTATTGGAAACGATTTGGGCCAGCTGAGCTCTCCAGCACAGAGAGCTGTTGCGTGGACGCGGATAAGATGCTCGTCGGAGTTTGGCTTGGGTTCGGGGATAGGCCGGTTTATCAGGGTTAGAGTATCCTTCTCGAGATCCTGCCAAAGAGATCTAACAGCAGACTTAGAGTGTTGGTTCGCCATGGTGCGTTGTTGAGTGAAGGGTAATGTTGAGTAAGCTGCAGTGTTCTGTGTTGGAGTCAAGACGAATTGATTTTGCGTGTGGGATAACCGGCCTTTGGAATATGATGAAGGCTGTAAGGGGTTATGGAGTAGGTTGATGGGCAGCTCGGGTTTGAGAGCCTTCACTGCAACCGTTATTTATCCGATGAGTGAGTGAACTCGCTCTATTATTTATACATAAAATGATGAAATTTTCTGGGGCCACAATACCTGTTAAATAGCCGTCTGGAGCTCGCATTTTTCTCGCATTTTTATTGAAATCCTTGTTTAAACTGAAAAGTTCAGCCATTTCGAATCTAAACTAGCTAGGCATGGCAACAATCGATCAACCCTTCGTATATATCCATCTCGCTTCAAGATGGTGCGCGGCAATATAGCCCTTGTTCCGTGATAACCATTCCCTGCAATTCTGTATAAGGAGAGGCTGGGGCTTGGGATGCCTGCTAACATGGAAATATCGAAGAAAATCACCAACTCGATGCTTCCGTGGGTATTGGTTCGGCTATGGGTTCGGGTAGCGGGTATGTGACGTCAGTGCCGAACTTTAAATGTCGGGTTGCCGATCGCCGACTCCGGGCCCAGACGCCTAGATCCCCGCCGGCCCTGTACTAAGATAAACATGTTATAAGGCTTGTTCACCAGTTAATCGCCAGCAATAGATTCACGTGGAGTGTATATATACAGTGCGGAACAGGGGCTTTCACACTTAGCAACGGGCAAATGCCAATAAGAGGAGTCTTGATTCATCACCCATTTAGCTACAAGTTGGAAATCATTTTGGGAAGCAGGTTGTACCTCCAACGGCAGAATTAAACCACAGAATCTAAAGCACTTCCGTCAACTCTCACGCTCATCCAGACACTATAGGGGAGGAGGAACTGGTGATAAAAAACAAGAATCACCAAACATTGCAGTAGGGAATGATTCATCTATCATCACAGAGTTACCAGAGTGGTTCGAAATCTCGTGAGCCTGATCCATCAAATCAGAGATAGCCTGGCAATCCAAATTTGGAAGAGCAAACACCTGACGAGCAATCAATTTTACTTCATACAGAGTCTTGCGGCCTAAAGGCCATATTTTCTCGTGTGCTTTTAGAGCACCGATATTGAGTCGAATCCGTTCCTTGATCGCGCGACTTGTGCCGATGTTGGTGTCAAAAATGCACGCGGATAGCTGTGCGATTGTCGAGAGAGCTACCATGCATATTATAAATTGGGATTGCTTCACCAAAGGTGTCGGGAGGGCTAATAGACTGGAAATCTTTTCGGAGGCGGTTAACACCTTTACTGTATGCATTTGGTATGCTTCCTGAGCGGCATGTGTGAGTCGCTCGGGAGGCGGAGGAGGGGCACATTTGGAAATGTTTTCTGCGTTGTTGTACAGAAGCTTTGAGCGGGGACGGTGAAGGTAGATGGTTGTCCTGAAAACGGTTAGTTGCCAAAGCATAACACTATCTAGTTAGAAGGAGGAATAAGACGCAATATAACTCACGTATGAATTAGCATATGAGCAAGAAATGATATAGGATCTACGTTCCCTTTATTTGTTACCAATTCTCTTTTGATATCTGGAAGATGCAGCGACCATGCTACCAACCCTGAATCTGCGTAATCAACTTCCGGGTCAACAGGGTTACTATCATTCAAGCTAATAGCTAAAGTTGTTCCTAGGATGCGAGACGCGTCAATTAGGTAGGCAAATGATGAGAATACTACATCAACAGGATCAAATTGTCGGTCATCAAACTCAACTAGAGTTTTTGGTTTAGGGATATTCTATCAAAAGGATTAGCTCTCCAATATGTTAAATCACCACGCACATGGATAGCTATGATCTGCTTACTCCTGAATGGAAATCTTCTTCTTCACAAGGAAGGTCAACGTTGCTATTCACACTCCATAGCGCAAATCCAGGTGAATGCCGGATTCCTGCATAGAGCGAATCAACGATATATAGTAGCCACCAAGTCCTCCTCCAGGTCTCCTCCAAAACATGTTTCCCCTCTCCATGCTGGTAAGCGAACTGGCATGAATTCATGCCAATCTCCAACGCCATGGCAATAGCAACATCCAGTATTTCCCGCGCACGTGGCTTATCATTATTCCAGTGTGTAGCGATGGAGTATAACAGTAGAGCTTGCACAGAGAACCCATTTCTGGGTAGTTGGTTGCAAAACAATAAACTTTCAGATAGACTTTTGAAGAACTCTGGGGACGGGCAATGACCATACAACGAGCCAATGTATCGCATGACCGCAGCCACAACTTCAAGTGATTCCGGATCAACGTTTAATCGAGCCGTAAAGTGCTGTTTTGGGAGGACCATTGGGTGTGATTCATGGAAGAAAGTATAATAACATTCAAAGGGTCGGCCCAGGGACGCGGAGCCTGTTGTTGCCGCGCTCTTAGAACTTGTTCCCGTTTCAACCATCCCAGCACTGTCTGAATCGCCCATTCGAGTACTTGTTCGATCTCCAGAAGACCTGTGGCTGGATTCCGATCCTCTAGTTGGTGACTGCGTGACCGTGGCTCGGGTATCGGACGAGACGATTTTATTGTGGCCACCTCGTCGAGACTTCATATATTTGCATTGCCTGCCATTGAATTTGCAACGCGAGCAAATTGGCAAACCAGAGTCGCATTTTACGTGTCTATTGCGACACGGAAGACAAGCTAGGGAAACTCGTTGTCGTGTTCTGAACCCCGTTTCAGATTCAGCTCCTGGTGATGGAAATGTTACTTGCGCTGGTCCATGGTCACCTTTCTGCGCTACAAAGGCGGGAGGTGACAGGAGCCATTCAGCAGATCCAAACAGCTCTTGGCTGGTGTCTGATACTGGTAAGGAGTCCGAGAATGACATCGTAGTTTGCAGGTAGTTGGCCGGAACAATGCCTACCAATCTCCACGCTATTCGGGAGAAGTGGATACAACGGGCTCTTCAAAGCAAAGAAGAAATTAAGGGTGTCGGAAACAATTTGAGGCTGGGTCGGTGTGTCAAAAATTCAATTTTTAGGAGATAATTGTGCCTGGATGAGGGGTTATTGTACACGTCGAACCCAGGAGCAAAGATCATTTCCCAACCGCATCTATTCGAAATCGGGCCCAATAACTACCCGTGGCAAAAGCGAGGGAAAAGAATATCATCGTGGTGACTTGTCGTCCTGGAGAGCGAGGATGAGCAGGCGCCGAGTAGGATGGGAAACCTGTAAAATAATTTGTATGATTAGAAATTTCATTGATCACTTTTGTAGCTGTGATTGGTTTGAAATTTACAGTGGGCATACCTCCGCCTCATGCTCAAGACATCCTCGTAAAGGTCGGCATTTTGGTGCAGGAAATGCCCGTCAAGGAGTGCTTGGCCCACGACATCGGGACGGGCTAGAAAAACAGGGACATTTCTCGGGCGAAAAACCATGACATGAGGGCTTCTTGACCCCAATAATAATAAATAACTAATGGCGGTGCAACGGTGTTTGGTTGGACTTTTGAAATTTGTAATTTTAAATGGCAATTCAAACGGGCAACGCTGTGCTGTTCATGAGAACCATCCCACAGGGGACATTTATGTCAATCTGTCAATTACTGCGTAAAGAGGCTTCTTCTAGCTGCAGATCAAAACAGGACTAGGGATTTAAACTGGACGCTTGACTTACAAGCATCATCCATTTGTGACAGAGGATTTCCCGTTTCTGGAATGGCGTTGATACCGCCCTCCAGCTCATACGATGTGGCATTTGACTAGAATGCTTTTCACAGAAATACGATATTCTGAGGCATGCAGGTTTCTGCATAATCGCATTAGCCTCTGTTCGCATGCTAAGCCCTGATCCATCTCAGTCCTTATCTAACAATATAGTAAATGAAATTTGCATTTTCTCCGTACGGAAACGCTCACTAATAATAATCAACGCCAAACATCTTCTCTTTTTGCTGTATAGATATTGCAACCCCGTGGGACGGTATAAGAGCGATTAGGATTACTCTCCCACACAACACTCTCGCCCGATTCCTTACGAAGGTACTTATACTCGAAGTCCAGCCCTGCACCCAATTGAATAGTTCGATGCCATAAACGATTGTCATCGGTATACTGGTCTGCGGAGAGCGCAATTGCAGATTGAATGTCCCAGGACCCGAGCTCTGGAACAGAGCCAATTATGAAGATCCTCTGTCCAAGGGTCGTTGTGGCGACTTCGTTGAATGTAACCAGGATTGAGTCAGGAGTGACACATGGGGATGTAGTTGTAGTGGTCGAAGTAGCAGTGATTTTAGTTTCCGTGAGTCCGTTGGAGAATGAAATCGTTCTCGAGATGCTAGTAAGATCTGAAGGCCATTTGGTATTGGTTGCTGTGCAGTAAGGTCCCGTGGCTGATGTAATTTGGCAGGTCGGCGGGATGCTACTGGCAGCTGTCTGGCCCCAGGGGTCCGGGACACTTGAATTACGCCGGGAAACAGCTGTCAGGAACGAGGCGTATGACCATGTTAAATCGGAGGCCGAAAGAGGGGTTCCGTCATCTCGAGAAAACTGCTCGGCTAGTTCGCCGGAAACAGGGGCATATTTTTGCTAATGAATCAATTAGTGTATTCAGGCCTAACATTCAGTGGCAGCTTACTTACCGCAACAGCCAAATATCCATCCGCGTAATCCCTCACTGCCTCTATTATAGATTTGAACGTCG